GAGCATTAGCACTGGTAAAGCCCAGTTTTGTAAACTCCTTCGTCGGTCAGTCGGTCTATCAACTTGGCCGCTCTCTATGGCGTCACTTTACAGTTCGGTTGTAGCGTCAAATGCCGTTTCACACATCGAGGCGACTGTGGTGAGACCGGCGAGTCTGCTCGGCAGAGCTTTTGTCCTCAACACGTGAGCGGCGGCGGTGGTGGACGTGCCCACAGTCTGACCACAACCTGCTGCTCAGCGTTCTCCCACCTGCAAGTAATGCGACGGACTTTTACGCGGATGTTTTTACGTGGTGGCGGCCATCCTTTTCTTCTACAGCGTTTGTAAACGGAAGGACTTACCATCTGGTCGGTACCGTGGGTATTTACAACCGCACCAGTTAATTGAACGCCGGTTCGAATTGACCCTAGAAACGAGCCCAAGATCCTTTCGAAAACGTGCGAGAAAAATAGACGCAATGGTACGGCCCACCACCTGAGAGGACCCTTTGTACGAACGAGCAGACAACTGCACTGCAATATTAACCTATCATCTTACGTGAGTCACCTCTCCAAGCGACGTGAACGACCTCTCTAAGTTGTTGTTGTTGAAGGTGAAGTATATTGAGGAACGTTATCGACCAACAGTACCCTTCCAGAGAGATTAAACTATCTGGTGTTGCTTTCTATGATGAGTGAAGTCGCTATCGTGTGAGGAGCAGTTCTCCTGACCAACATTAGCTGTTCTGGCAATGCCCATTCGCGGGGAGTTTGCATGTTGCGATTATTCGATCCACGGTCGAGTTCGACTGATGTCTCGAGTCAGTGGTTGACTTCGTGCTGTATGTGATGCGTGATGTCCGTATAGATGTTCCTATCTGTCAGATCGTGAACTTGAAGAGTTGTCTTGGTATTCATCGCAGTGTTCGCTGCGACTTCTGCCATCATATTATATTCCCGGATGTGGTGAGCCCAGCTGGCGACTGATACATCGTCAGCCAATGCTCGCGCTTGTCGGTACAGTGCGGCTAGGTTCGGCTTGCGAGGTGAGCGATACCATCGGAGTTGATTAATTACCATTACATTGTCCCCGATGACATGCAACGGTAGGAATTCGCTGTGTTTTGCCTGCCGTAGGCCTTGAATGAGACCATTATATCCAGCCGAATTGTTTGTAGTCGTCCCCACTCGAAGTGATATACTAGCCATCCAGACGATTGTAGCGGCATGTGTCTGTGGGTGAACACAGACAATGCCGGAGCCTGAGTCTCCTGGTCCGGGGTTATCCCGTAAATCACAATTGAAGAATAGCAAATACAGGTTCGTTGCAAAGGCTGGTTGAGCGTTTAGCAGCAGTATTGGGGTCCCAGTGTGTTGTAGAAGGTCATCTGCCAAAGCTGAGCGCATTCTCGCCAGCACTTGTTCAGATGTACCACCTCCAGGTTGGTAGGTGGAGTTCCTGAAGCATGAGAGCGCTCTACGTAGCCTGGATTGGGCGACCGCATGATGGGTCTCCACTGACAGTGTAGGATCCTCGATGCGTCTGAGCCGCTCCAACCATATTGTGAGAAAAGTAATCGACACTACAAAGCGCCATAGTTCGGTTGGAGCTTCATAGCAGGCTTCTCGAGCGTCCAGTGTCCTGTCGCACGCATTTAATGAGGCTTGAGCGATAACCCACGCACGTTCTGGAGTACGGGAAAGTTCTAGTGAAAAAATGTTTACCGGTAATTCAGCATCAGTAAAACGACCAATTCGGCTCCAGACCTCGCAAACGCATCTCCAGCGTCTCTCGGCTACGGGGCATTCCCAGAAAATATGAACAACCGGGGCGTAGTCTTGTGAAGAGCATTCGGGGGCTGGACACGACAGGTTGTTTGCAGATCGGTTCCAGAGTGGAAAACGGTTACACTTGAGTCGGTACAGCGTTTGCGAGACATACGGAGATGTGGCACGGATACGGCGTATATCACGCCAAGGCACCAGTTCGAGACTGTGTGTTACAAGTGCGTAGTTACGGCTTTGAGATCGTTGATCACGATTGATGATGCCTGCCGTGTGTCGCAACCTCGACGCAATTTTCTTAAGTGCCTGAGCACGGGGTTTCCAGCGCCATGTGCCTGTCCATATTTGCGTGATCCGTGTCATAGTCGGGTGGGCTGCACAGTGTACCTGCGCGAGAAGCCACCTGGTCACAGTCCACCATGGTATTTACCGGTGTAATTGATTGAGTTTTGTTCTTAGTACAGACCGTAAGGTTCTTGCCACTGTCGTTCAAGACACATCTAGTATGGTGGGGTGGTCTCTCCATGTACGATGTCAGTGTACCTGTTGGAACCGAAAAAACTAGTAGCTCAGGAAAATTGTACAACAATGCGTGGCAGAATTCCGCGAATTGGCGAGTCTTAGCGGTATGAATCGTTGTAGTGATCTCCGTTCTTGGTGTGAAGCGCACTTTTCCCGGACATATCCATGTCCATGTAAGGGCATCTCCAAGTGTATATTTTCCTGTCGCAAAACTTGCACTCTTGAGGTCGTATTGCACTCCATCTCGGGACAATAGCCAAGAAAGATTTTTGAGCGATGCATGCTGTAACCATCGCAGGTCTACTCGACCGAGGTGATCCACTTCTGTCGCTCTATCTGTGAAAGTGTGAAGGTTCAAGACGTTCGTGGCATCCACTACAACGCTACCATCGCTGTGAAATGTGTCATGAAATTTGGGCAGAAAGCATTTTGCCCTCCCACTCACACGCTCAGCGATTCCGCCTCGAGCATGTTCAGCCACCGATACACCAACAACGGCCGCTCCAGTTTCCCACAATGTGGGTTTAATGCGGATTGATACTGTTCCAGACCAATTTGGGGTAATGTAAACGGATTGGGTCTTGCCTCCCCCCATAAGGCGTCCCCAATAAGGCGATCAAGGTATCCGGATGAAGCAGCCCATTTCCCAACAGTTTTTGCAGCCATCGTGATCAGCTCAGTCGTAATACATGGTGCCGCAAGCCCCCCTGCGCGATCGGTAGTTCTGTTTGTTCAGCAGGGACCCATGGTCTGTTCATTTTTCCGTCTCGGGTGCCCCAGATAAAATCTTTATTTAGCTTGCTTGGTCGGAAAATAATAGCCTTCGACGGCCAGCAGTGCCGAGCAACGTACAGGAATTTGGGTACAGCAATGGATCGAACCAGGTGGGAACGCTGTTCGACCGAATGCGTCTTTTGACGAGCCAAAGCTAAACGTGCCCATACTGCTTGGATACAGATGTCCCAGTTGATAGTAGAAAAATCGCCATGCCCAACTTGAACCCCAAGATAACGGCAGTGGTTAGCTGTGTTCAGTAACGTTAGACCGAGTGTGTGATCCGGTGACAGTGTCGTTTGACTCCCTAGCTGAACGACGATCGACTTGTTCTTGTTTATAGCCAACCCCGACACATTTTGAAAAGCTCCAAATATTTCAAGCACCTTAGGAATCTCCCGATAGTGGGCGAGATAAACGGCCGTGTCATCTGCATAACCAGAGATAACAATAGTTTCTTCCCTTCCAGGTGAAGCGATTCGTACTCCATGAATATCTGAACGTATTGAAAAACCTTGTACGCGCTGTCCAGTGCGAGAATGAAAAGCAAAGGAGCCATTGGGAAACCCTGTCGGATGCCGCAGTTCATCTTGACCTTTCGCGACAGAAATCCATTGACCAAGAACTTGCATGTAGTGTTCGCGTGGAGCGCGGATACGATGGCGACAAATTTCTGCGAAAACCCCAACCATTTGAGAACCGCTAGTAAATAGGGTCGCTGCAAGGTGTCGTACGCTTTAGCAAAGTCCAAAAGGAGGACAATTGCATCTTTTGTGGCTTCTTCAGTCGTTGCCGCGATCTTCGTCGCAGCAAATATATCGAGAGCAGTCGCGATATTGCGACCTGGTACAAATCCAACTTGTGCAGTGTCGACCACGAATGGCAGCATCGCTCGTAGCCTGGTAGCTAATATTTTAGTAAAAATCTTGTAATCGCTGTTGAGTAAAGCGATTGGCCGATGGTCTAGCGGTCGAGAAGACGTTGATGATTTCTTGAGACAGTGATGTTGGCCTCGCCAAATGAGCAAGGCGTCACTCCACACTCAAGCCATCTAGTGTATAATTCCAACAGGATGGGTGCAAGTTCTTCAGAGAAATCCTTCTAAAAACTATAACGACCTCTCTAAGTGACGTGAATGACCTCTCTAACTAACGTGAATACGTGATTCTCGTCACTTACAGAGGTCATTCACGTCGCTCTCCTATCGATGTGGATCACCTCTCGAAGCGGTGCAATGCATATCTCCGACGATGCAATGAACGAAAAGGACTCGAACCTGGTTGGCTTCCAAACGCTGTCCGAATCATCTGGATTTGCCTATGACATGGCAGTATCGAGCCACGCAAGCGCTACTAGCAAGGACCGATCAGTAGCTGCGAGCGGTTCGGAATGTAAAGTCTCGACCTGAATAGGGTAGGAACGGGTTGGTAGGATGTCTACGTAACCTTTCTGACCGTCAAGAAAGGTAGAAACTTTGTTTCGAAACGGACGGAAAGAAAAGAGAAGGATCATGAAATAATGCATGTACGACGCGCCCGTCTGTCTGTCGATCTGTCTACCTGACTACCTACCTGTCCGCGTGTTCGTCCGTTCTTCTGCCTATCTGCCTGTCCGCTAGCTCGTCCGTTCATCTGACCATCAGTGTGGCGCGATCGTCTACCACACGATGCAAAGCACTCTTGCCATTCGAAGCTGTACTTGTTCAAAAGAAACTCACCAGACTCTGGCCCTGCCATTGATGACGTACCTGTAACTTACTCATCCGACACGACACAACGAACTAACTTATCCGACACGACGCAACAAACATGGAACACTTGATACACGTATACACATTGTTTTGAGCTCCACAATTACGTATCATCATATCGATCAAAAGACTCAGCTAGAGCATACAGAAATAATTCACGCGGCGCCTCCGCGTTGCCCGGGGACTCTGAGTTACCTGGGAAACCCGAATCCCGGGAACCCTGAGTTACCCGAGAACCGTGAGTTACCCGGGAACCCCGCGTTGCCCTGGAAGCCCTCGCCGCCTTGCACTCCCGGACTGCCCTGCAATCCCGCGTTACTCGGGGGGCTTCCGCCACCCTGCGCTCCCGCGTTGCCACGCACCCCCGCGTTGCCTTGTACCAATGCAGCAGCTTTTTGTGCTGCGGTCGCCACGCTTCCGTCCGTTGCGTACATCATGTGCGCCATTGTGTTGAAGCCGCCGCCGCACACCGGGTCGCCCATGTTGCAGAATTCAATCGCCTTGGACGCGTACGTCTGACTCGAACTATCGATCGTCTGACCCGTGAGCTTCAGAGGGTTGCCGAACGTGACGATCGCGCTGATTTTAGGCGCCAAGGTCTCCGGGATGGCTTCTCCAGAACCGAGCATCGTACTGATGCCGAGAGAGATGGATACGACGCTGGCTCCTTGCGAGTACCCGCCCAGCACGAAGACGGTAATGGGGTGCCAGTCATGCAGACTGAAATTTCTTGATAAGGTCTAGCTATAAAGAATTTATGTGTGGAACGGTCGAGCCCGTTTCATTAAATTGATACGAATGAATCACACATTTGATAATATTTATCTGTGTATTATTCAATAATCATTACTCGATAAGAGGAAATGTTGGCGAAATACTACCCTATGGGTTATATTCTTAAGTGATCCACTTAATGTTTGATGTCGACGCTACATCAACTAAATTAATTAATAATTGCTGCTGTTCGCGAGCTATGGGTGGCGAGCAAAAAACTTACATAGAAGATTGTAATTTTACATAGTTAGATCAAATCAAATATGGTTTTTCCAAAAACTAAACTATATTAAATTCAAAACTACATTTTTCCTTAAATTAGCTTGCCTCTCTATTTTTTATTCGAGCTTCCTCGCACTACGTGTACGTGACGTCGGGAGTACGTAGCCTTGTACGTAGCCTTTGGTTATCAACACAAAGTCTTACCAGTTATCAGGTAAGATTGTACTTCGTTACAAAGTGGACAATTATACACGGGTCATCTGCTGCTCTATATCACTTCTCAATCTTACTTAATGATAGATTTCATGATCCAGGTGCAGGATGATAAAAGCATCGTGAAGGTTAGCTACATTTTCCATGTACAAAACTTGAATGCAGCATAGTTTCAACATTCTTTCCTCTACATCGCACCCTTTGTACAGTCGAAATGTTATGATGCGTAAGTCTTCGGATCGACAAAAGTTTCTGTGCACTGTCACATATGATTTGTACGCATCTTCGCATCGATTAACGACTTACTGAGTGCTTGACTTATCATTCCATTAGCGCGTGCTATTGAATTATAAGGTGACAAAAAGTATCCGTAGACACACACGTGAAAATTTTAATGTATATATACATAAACCTTCCAATTATGCGACCTAGTGTGCAGACCCATCATCTTTGCACGAGTAAGGGTTCTAACCGATCACACGCACTGCCGACGGCATTGAAATGCATTGCGCTGCGATTATACCGAGTTGTAGGAATGGCGTGCACATGCAGGAGGGTCCCTTCCAATAATCTCCGAGGATCCAGGGTGGGACAAAGGAAATGATAAGGTCCCATCCGTGCGCCTCAAAGTCAGTGGGGAAATGCACGGGACAGAGGGTCCGGGTCTCGTACTTAAGGCGGAAGCTGGGCGTCTATCGTACGCGACTGCGATCAGCGGACTCGGCGAAAACCCCGGCTTAAACAATTTAAGCCCATCGGAGCTCGTCGATCGTAGCCGTCCGGGATTCGACGAGTTTCGCCGACCGAAATTCGATATATTTCGCCGACCTAACGCCGCCATTCGACCGACCCGGGCCCTAAAGCAGTTTGCATCACCGGTTCTGGCGACTTCAGCAGCCACGGCCTCAACAATTCTGACCACGTAGTTGTCAACTTGCGTCTGGGTGGTAGAGCTAGCGTATGCGACTTAGCCGGCTCTGGTGCTGTATATTGGGATTCACCGCGTGAACGTAGGGCCGTACTGACACGCACAGCCACCAGGACGTGATAGTAGAAAGCCGACGATGATATGCGTCCGGCAATTCCGCTGGAGGGGGAGGCTCTTGCGGTATGGACGATGGGGGCCATCATACCTCCGTCTTAGCCTTGGGTTTGGGTCTGAACGAACCGCGGGCTACGCGGGTGCTTATGCTTAATATTTTTTAGTGTGTACCTGTAAGGTAAGAAGATTTCAATTGTACCTCCTCAATCGCGCATACCGCAGTATGTCGCTGAGAAGATATTTATTCAACAGCTCTTGGAGCGCTGTAAAGTGGAGCGGAACCCGATGTCTTGAGTCGGGTACAAGTCAAGGGTGTCAAGCGAACCAGTTTCAAAGTACATGTAGATGTACATAAATGATCTGTCTGGCGGAGCGGTTACTCTAACACCCTGCGCCGCTAGTCTTCCTCCTTCAGCGGATTTAGCTGAGTTTATTGAAAATTATCCAAGGCGTCGTCCGGAATACTAGCTGACTAAGACAAAGATAACAGTGCTATATCGTCCCTTCCTCGCGCCTGTCAGGAAGCTCAGGGTGCCCAGGTGAATATTCGATCAACGATATATTAATTAAGAATTTATGCCGATCGCGATCATACCTTGCGCGCCACAAGAGTGATCAAGGTCCCGAACAATTCGTCTGCTGAGGAAGCGGCAGCCGCCATGCCGAAGATTACGAAAAATTTTCGCAAACCTATCTTCGATTCGGAATCGGGTCGGGCAGCACAAAGTCATGTCTTTACTACCGGCTACATCGCCAGTTGGACCAAATGACCGAAATGCGTGCTTTAAATTCGTTCACGTTGGCCTGGAGGCGCTTTTCATGGATCTGCCGTATCATGTTGCTTACCTCGCCTCGATGCCGGGTAGCACTCGGCGTTCCTTCGGAAATGGTATTGACAGCAAGTATAAACCGGATGTGATCCGGCAAATCTCCACACACGCCGATGTGAAACATTCGGAATTGTGGTAAAGCAATCAAGAGTTTTTTTTTCGTTGAGTTGGAACGTGTGATCTTACAGATAGCAGGCGTCAGTAAAGCCCCAAAAAAGATTTGGTTGGAAGAATAATGTCTGAGATGGATGGCTCACAGGCACGATCAGATTTCTCGATCTCAATCAGATCTATCGATCCAAATCCGAACTCTGGATCTCGAACTAATCTCTCGATCTCGATCTGATCTCTACAAGTCTGGTGTGGGTCACGCCAAGTTTTTAGAGAGAACACACTTGATGTAAATTACCTAGGTACAAGTGGGCGATACACTTGAGAGGAAGACGCGTGGCTTCGAACTCGGTGATATGGATAAAACTAGATATGTGTTAGGTTTTGGTTTTGATTGGTTAACATTAAACGGATTTCAATTTGCTTCTACGTACACATGTCGACTTATCTTCTGGGTTGGATCATTGGCCACCCGACGTCAAAGAAAGTCGCATACTTATATCAAGTGATATCCCTGAATTGTTTTCCACGGATCAAGGACTCTTTACAAACCCCAACTGCGATCGGACGCAGTCGACAAGTGAAGGCAAAGGGTGCGAGATCGCGATACAGCTTGAGTGGTCAGAAAGATTGCGGATCAAGAATTTACTTTGGACAAGGCGATCTATTGGAGATCAAGGTGACTCATATCGAGCACCTTACGAGTACACCCGCTATTGTGGGAAGGTTTCCACGCGACAGCAACAATCCCAACCACGGTTAAGCTTAACATCGACTTAATTACACCTGGAAGAACGTAACCCGACCCACCGACGGGTACACAAGTGTAACGAAGAATACAGAACAAAATTATAATACCTTATACGTTCGTCGGTCGTCCAGGCGCCAGTGGAGAATGGGGATCGACTCTTTAAAAGATCGATCATCACTCCACCACAGAACTGTGCCGCGGGTCGGGCGGCGACGGCAGATGGTTAAACCAGTCAGATTATATCGAAAAATACTGACAATATCTAACCTTGGGGACTATTTAGGATAATTCAGCATGATTAGCTGAATGCTACTGTTGTAGAACCGCGTGCTGACTAAGATCGTTCGACAATTATCAATATTCCCTACGCCTTACTACCACAACTCGCACCCCATGACTTTAAGATTAATGTGGTGACGTTGCAGAGCTTACATGTGCTATAATACCTCTCTAAAAAGGTGTGCACGTCTGTTACAAGCATTTTATGCAAACCTACCGAATGAAAACCTGCACTACCTTGTCGCCCGAGATGGTCAGCTGGTGGCACCACCTTGTTTGGGATCTTTCGGCTGCGCCAAGGGACAGTTTCTTTGCGGATGCAGTTCGACGTCCTTCTCTGTATAATAATACAGGGAGACTTCATCCGATATTCAGGACTTATTCTATTCAGTCCCCCCCCGCGACAGGCCTTTCCCGACATCGTCGTCGGCTTAAATCGAAGACTACCCGGAGGCCGCTAAAATAAGCCATCGGTTTCCATCCGCAGAGCGTCGCGGGATTTTCCAAGCATCTAAAACTCTACAAAACATGGTTTAGTCACGTTTTACAATGCAAAACACGGATAGCTTTTGACTTGGTTATTTTACAAGAAACCCTGGTCACTATTTGACATTCGACAAATTTGTACTAGCTGTAAGACTCTACATGGGCATTCATGGACGTGACCGTACGAAAACGGTGGACAGATGCCTAGTTCTCTCTTGGAAGCGTGGCGATTTTATAAAATCCGTTCTCATCAATTACGGAACATGATACGTGGCTCGAGGAGCATTGGAAACCGCACCGGATGCATGTTAAAATTTATCTTTTGGGCTACTCCGTTCTTGTTATCAACGTTCACACTGCAAGTGATAAGACTGACCACGAAGCGCTTTTTAATAAGCTTCTATATTTTCCTTCGCGATACGAAGGGTCCCTGTTTCCAGGGCGGGCTTCAACTGCACATAGTCCCGCAACTTGACCATTCTTTTGGCTCGATTCCAGGCAGACATGATTCTTGGGCGCTCAAAATAATTATCTATCGTGCACATCTTAGCGACATCCTTGAAGATGCAATATAAAATATAGTGAGTAGGAGCCTGAAAAGCGGAGTTGGTCGGAGCCAGATCCGCTTTTCAGGCTCCTACTCACAATTTTTTCTATACGTTCTCGGGCGTCGAATCGGCTAGTTCACTACTTGATCAGTGGTGTGTGAGTTATCTACATGCTAATATAATTTAAGACGTCTAGTTGTCGTTTCCTGGTCTAGCAGCTGACCACAATGGATTAAGTATCCGGATTGGAGCGCCACATCATGCCGTGTGAGGACCCAAACCGAGGTGGGTCTATTCTGTTCCAGGATGTGCGCAAAATGCCTCGAACATCACAGTATTTGAGCCCATTGCGTTGGACAGCTTCAAGTTAACC